CATGATGTTAAAACATCTTATAGGACACCATACAGAAGAACTAGCCACTCCTCTTGCAGTTGTTGTAGAAAATCCTCAGAAACCTTGAACAACCATCAGTAGTTATTCATCTTGATCCAGGACACTCATCTCAACCATTAATACCCTTGAGTATATCAGAATGAATGATCTTATCTCTTCAACTCCTTATTGGTTAAATCACCATAAAAGTATCTCCCAAGATCTCATCCAGAAACAGATAGGATGCCTGCTCTGATACCAATTGAAATTTTGGCATATCAAATTACAAATGTCCTACAACATGTCACAATATTGTTCTCTGTAAAATGTTAAAAAACAAGGGCAGAATAATCAAGCTGATACTTTGAATATCAGCAACAAAAGCACAACAAATGTTTTGGCATCTGTCACAACATGTTAATCAAAAGGAAAATACTGAACTATAAATTTGCATAATGATAAATAACACAAGATATGTTAACCCAGTTCGGTGTAAATCATCTACATCTGGGGGGCTACCAAGCCAGGAAGAAGAATCCACTATCAGTAGTACAGTTTTATGTAAACAAGCTCTGGTTTACAGTAAACATCCTCTGGTTTACCTATCACTACCCAATGAAAACTTTATCATTAGAAGTCACATCTAATTGATAAGAAAAACCCATCTCACTCCCTTAATCACAACATGTGATAACTAAAATTTATAGTCACAATAATTGTATCATCCTACTTGAAAGACACCTCTTTCAATACAAAGTTCAGCCAAGCAACCTTGACTAACGATCTACTTGGATTTTCTTCAAAGCTTTATCCAAGAAGAATACGCGGTTCATTACCTACAGGGTTATGAATCTGCATAAACATCTATGTCTACCATAATATATCAAATCGGTATAAAGGGAGACTTACAACACAAGAAAGCCTATGACTCTCAAAACCCTAAACCCTTATTTCCCTTTATAAAAGTGTTACAAGAGGTTCATCATTTAGTCCTAGGTCTAGGTCTTCCTTTTATAGTCTTCTGCTTCCTTGGGCTTCAAATCATATTTTCTTGATCCACTGCTAAACACGCTTGAGCCCTGCTAAGTCAATCCAGAATGTCGAGTTTCCATGCTGGGACATCTCATTCGACATCTTTGGTATGGACAGATTTCTTCAAAAGTGTTTTACCAAAATTTAGTCAAATCCTTGGAGCTTTCACAAATAAAGTAATTAATGAAGTCGATTGAGCTTATTCTTACTCAATTCAGTTTATCTCTTTATTAATAAGTAAAAGAAGGCACATTTTGGTAATATTAATGAGTGGTTAATTACTCTATAGTGGAAATACCCATTTTTAGATATTTTCCTCTATTTTCCTCTTACCAACTAATTGCTTTGTTAGAGGTAACAAAAAGGAAAAGAAGAAGAGAAGGTTGTTAAGAAGAAAAAGCAAGAGAAGAGAAAAAAGAAGAAGAGAAAAAGGAGAAAAACTCAGAAAAAGGAAGAATCATCCTACTACGTCAAGAATTATCCCAAACCTTCATCATTTTCTTAATTAAAGGTGGGTTCCTAGTTAGACATAGCTATAGTAGGGAATAATTCATGAATGGGAATTTAGGGTTTTGTGTGTTTTGCCATGATAATGAAATATGTGTTAATACAAGACGTTCTTGTTTCTTTCCATGTCTACTTGTGATAATCTATGTTATTTATGTTGTTTTGTATGATATGCATAATTCTCATTTTGGTACTAGTTTTGTGCAACAACTCTCACTAGGCAAGGGGTTTTCTCGTTGAAGCGAGCTTATAAGTAGCCGAAAAGCTCTGCATTTCTCGCTAGGTGAGACAACAGATATTTGAGAGAATTGACATTTTGGAATCTTTCGCTTGAGCCTCGCCTAGAGTTTGCTACGTGAGAGCTTACTTGAACGCCTCACTAGCGATCGTTGAGAAAAACAGGGGAAATATGGAAAATTAAACATTTGGCCTCGTCTCACTTGGAACTTGCCCGAGCTCGTTAAGCGAGGGACCTTATGCTTTAAATTTTTTTTAGTGTTCTTGTTTCCACCATAACACGAGAACCGTAACTTCGATTAATGTGAGGTTGAATGTGTTGGAAAACTAATCCAATGTTTTACCTTTTTAGGGTAAAAGAAATCATGTTTATGTTTCCATATTGTTTGGATAACGATAATGAACCATGACTTGTTTTTCATGTATCATGTTGTAATATGTATATGTATTCATTACATAGTTAATGACTGGAACTTGAAATGTAACACATGCATGAGAAAGAAAAGTGCTAAGTTCCTAGAATGGATCCGTAATTAGTACGAGCTTGGTGAGGTGCTAAGTTCCTATGATGGAGCCATAATTAGTACAAGCCTAGTGACGTACTAATTCAACCGAATGTAGCCGTAATTAGTTATACACACAAAATTCCAATAAGAATGAGTCGTAATTAGTAATGGCATACCATATACTAAATTCAACCGTGCAGGGTCGTAATTAGTAGAGTGATAGACACACCTTGCTAAATTCCAATTGAAATGGTCATAATTAATAATGGTAGGCCATGTACTAAATCCAACAGAATGAGGTCGTAATTAGTTGTGGGACTAAGTTCCTATTGGAAGGATTGAAATGATGTGAGTATCTTGCTTTTAATTCAGAGCTGTAAATATATATTGATACTAGTGAGAGTGTCGGAAATGGTGTAACTTGAATCAATATGTTAATTGATTAAATGGTATATGCTATGTGAATAAAATAGGATGATGTGAGAATGTTATGGAATTTGTGTCATACTCGAGGCTAGATTAATCAGGGCATAATGAGCGTAAAGAATAGGTGATTACATGCTTATCCCGTAAATGTAACCATAAGCCTCAATTGCTGTAAATGTTATACATTGGCCATAACCGACAATAATTTTGATTATATTCTCTTATGATACGAGCTCGTTCTCCGGTGCCCATAAATCATAGGATCCTGTATAAATTGAGATTCCTTTAGAGTCGAGTGGACTCAAAAGATAGGGAAACTCACTAAGATTATTATCTCATCCCACTATTGTTGTTGTTTTCAGGTAGTTCTTTGCAGGTGAAAGACAAGGATAAGTTTGCATGATGATGTTTCAGTGATTGCACTTTTTGGATCATGATATTCTGATGTGAATCATACGAACTCTAATATATATCATAGTTTTCTTTAGGCACCTTTGTATATCATGTGTCATTTATGTATACCATTTTATTTTGGATATGTATGTTGCCTATAGGCTCTTATATGTATTAAATACCAATTATACTATGTATAATATATATTTTAGATGTATATTATATGTGGGTGTTACAAGGTTTATCTAGAACATTTGAGGACAACACAACCAATATAACCCATAGCATCTTTAATGATATATTTTTACTCATTACTTTACATTTTATCTTCATCTATTAATCATCTATTTCTACCAACATAATTAAAAACCTTAAACTTTTGTTCAACCAAAATAATGAAATATAAATTAAATAAAGGTTAGCAGTCTTTGAGTTGGACACTCGGTGGTTCTGTTATTTTTTATCACAGTGACAATTTAGTACACTTGTAATTCAGAATAGGTTATACATTCCACCATTAACAAGTAAAACATTAATGATAGAGGGAAATGGTTAGCAACCTACAGTGCCATAGCTGATGATTACACCTTTCTAATTTAATTTAAAACCATGTTTCCATTGCTAAGGCGGCCTCCAACATAGATTATTCAACTCTTAAGTATTCAAATCTTCTTGGTCCCACTTATGTTAGCCTTATAAGGTTCATTCTATTTCCATATTTTTAACATAGGAAAATTTAACCCCATGTGATATAGTAGGAACATGAAACATTTAAGTTGCGAGCTTTGTTCCTTTTTTGAAAGGTGTTCTTGCTGAACTTGGTATGGGCCTTGCTTGCAATATGTCAGGGAAAAGGATCTAGAGTGACGATTAAATATGAGGTATGTGTTTTTTATAGGCTAAAGATGATATGATTAAGATTCATGTTCGAACTCTCTATTTATAGATAGTGTACAATTATTTCCCTTAATGATATATTTAAAAGTACAATCCTAGATAAAGTATTATAAAGAAAATTGATCTATGTATCTGATACCACATAGTAGCATAAGATTTTGTTGTTGTTATTGTTGTTGATTATTATTATTAAGAGCACAAACAAATGACATTTTCTCCATAATATTTACGAATGTGGTGAGGAGCCTCGTGATTGATCTTTTCCATATTATGATTTAGCCTAACGTGGAAGTGATCACCTTTCCTTTTTAGGTAAGGCGACTTCATTATGTTCTCTTGCTTAATGCCTTAAGCAGCGATAATGAAGGTAGTCGTGATAGTGATTACTAAATAATATATGCTTAGTCTCTCAAGATGTTTTTTAGACCTTTATTGTGCTAATCTCAATTACTAATTCTTGCATTGTTAATATTACTGTCATTTGTGCTACGATTATTTTATTTTGTAGGTTATTAATAGTATGGCCAGAGAAAAAGAGAGGAAAATAGAAAAAAAAAGATATTTTTAATTATTACTCCCTCTGTTTTTTATTACAAGTTATTTTTGACTTTTTGCATGAATTAAGAAATGTAATAATTGTAATATGGAAAAGAGAAATTATGATTTTTTTTACAAAATTGTCCTTTATTAATGATATTGAAAAGACAAATTTACATAATTGAAAGGAGAAAGAATAATAAATATTTAAGGGTATAATAAAAAAAATAACATTGATAATTAATTGATATTATAAAACGACTTATAATAAAAAATGAAGGTAGTATTTTTAATTATTAATTTAAATATAAGTTTATTTTTAAAAAATAAAAAATAATATTATTTTAAAGGTGATTTAACATATTTAAAATATACCATAAAATATAAAAGAAAAGTGCTAACGAGTACCTCCGATACACTAATTAAGATATTAAAATGGTAAGTTTTTTTTTGACAAGAACAAATTTAACTTCTTTCATTGATTAAAAGAGATTCGATACAAGGAGGAATAACATTAATAACACTACACCTAGACCAAGAATTGTCCGCCTTCGCTAACGAGTGGGCAACCCTATTCGCTTGGCGTTTAATAAACTTCACCTCAAAGTTTTGAATAAGAGGAAGTAATTGCTTAATAGAAGAAATAATACAACTAAATTCAGAACAACCAACATGAGTAGATAGAACAACATTAACCACCACCTGGGAGTCACTTTCAAAGATCACAAAATTCATGTTTCTATCAATAGCGCACTGAATTGCCTCTTTCAAGGCCAAAGCTTCTGCCTCTACCGTAGACATAATTCCAGTATCCCAAGCCACTCCTGCTGATATGAATCTCCCAACATTATCCCTCACACACCAGCCCCTATTGGTTGTCTTTATTTGGTTATTGAAGCCCGCATCCACATTCCACTTAAGCCAACCTTCCCGAGGCGGATTCCACTTCACACAACTAGGATTTGCAATATTGACTTCTTTCACATCACGAGCCATAAACCAATCCTTCCAATTAAAGAAGGCTTGGAGTCCCACCTTCGAATAATCTTCTCTCTCATTATTCCATATAATATTATTTCTATTCTTCCAAAGGGAATCGAGAAGCACCACAAACCTACCAACCTCCCGACTTTCCTCTTTACTACAAATATCAAAAATAAGTGTTGTAGCATCAGAAAAAGAGTGTAATCTGGATTCGATAAGGTGAAACAAACCTGTTGCCCGCCAACACTGGTGAGCATTAATACAACCAAAGAACACGTGCCAATCATCTTCCACGCCAACTTCACAATTTTGGCACACAGAACATTGGACATAATGCTGGCGGAGTCTGACCCTCGACGGCAAACAACGTCTACAAATCCTCCATAATAAGTGTTTCGCTCGAGGAGGGGCCATGATGTTCCAGATGTTATCCCAAACTTCCGCACCGCTCCCTACCTGATTATGGCGCCGAGAGTTCCTCCACAACCGGTAGCCCGATCGCACACTATACTCACCGTTCTTTTCCTCTTTCCATATTATGCCATCCTCTATCACCTCTCCTAACAGAGTAACCTTCATAATTTCACTTGCCACTGCATGATCAAATAAGGCATGAATAGCTTGGGTATCCCATTGTTTAGAGTTATGGAGTAAAAGATCATTCACACACATGTCATACACACCTGAGATCTGGGGGCCAGTAATGTAATCGCCTTTCTTACTTCTCAGCCAAGGATCTCTCATAATATTTATATTACTACCATCACCAATGCTCCACCTGCATCCAAGTATTAAAACATCTCTAGCTTTCCAAAGGCTCCTCCAAACAAAACTTGGGTTATTACCAATCTTTGCATCTAAAAAAGAGGATTTAGGGAAGTACCTTGCTTTGAATATGCGAGAGACGAGAGCATGAGATTTTGCTAATAATTTCCATCCTTGTTTAGCTAACATAGCTAAATTAAAAGCTTTGAAATCTCTAAAACCCATGCCTCCTTCATGTTTGGTGCAAGCTAAGTGTTCCCATGCCAACCATTTGATACCTTTATTATTAATGTTTCCTCCCCCCACCAGAAAGCATTCAACATCTTCTCAATATCATTGATGACAGTTTCTGGAATAAGATAAATGCTCATAATATAAGATGGGATCGATTGGAGCACAGACTTGATCATTACCTCCTTCCCCGCTTTGGATAGCGCCTGACCTCTCCAAGAATTGATCCTCTTCCATATGCGATCTTTTATGAAAGAAAAAGTCTCCTTTTTACTGCGACCTATCATAGAAGGGAGCCCCAGGTAAGTGCCTGTACCCAACACCAGACGGACACCAATAATCCTCGCAATATCTTCCTGAGCCGGAATGCTAATGTTACGACTAAAGAAAACTTCTGATTTTGAAAGATTTATCTCTTGTCCCGAAGCAAGGGAACAGACCTTGAGAAGCTCCATAAGATGTGTCACCTCCAATACATTAGCCCTGCAAAAATAAAACCATCGTCAGCAAAAAGCAGATGGGACACACTTGGTGCCCCTCTGCAAATTTGGATACCATGAATATCACCACGGGCAATTGCTCCTTTTATGAGAGCTGAAAGGCCTTCTGTTATAAGAATGAATAGAAATGGAGACAGTGGGTCTCCTTGTCTCAATCCTCTTCCTGGTAGAATAGGTCCAACACTTTTTGAATTAACCAAAATTGAGTAGTTCACTGACGAAACACATATCATCATCCAATGGATCCATTTGTCAGCAAACCCCATCCTTCTGAGCATATCCCTCAAAAAACCCCAATCCACCCTATCATACGCCTTACTAATATCAATCTTCAAAGCCAAATGAGCTTTGTTCCCCGTTGTTCTCCTCTTAAGGGAATGAATAACCTCAATAGGAATTAGAGCGTTATCAAGAATGGAACGACCTTTCACGAAAGTGGACTGCTCTTCCGATACGCATTTACCCAAACAGAGTTCCAATCTATTAGCTAGTAATTTTGAGACCAGCTTATATATCACATTACACTGTGAGATAGGCCGGAGATCCTTCATGGTATGAGGGTTAGTACACTTGGGGATAAGACATATGTTTGTTTCATTTAGAGAGTCAGGAAAAAACCCTCTGTCTAACCAGTTCTTCGCTGCCACCCAAATATCATCCCCACAGAGATGCCAAAATTTCTGATAGAAAGCTGGGTTAAATCCGTCTGGACCGAGAGACTTATCCGGATGCATGGTAGAAAGGGCATTGAACAACTCCTCTTTGGAAATTGGAGAAAGAAGCTTACTGTTATCATCTACAGATATTGTTGGTCGAATGAGTTCCAGTACTGGTTCGTATACCCCCTGCCCTGCAAGGAATAAATTGTCAAAATAATCCTTCGCAATGTTGCACATACCATTGTGCTCTCGGACTTCATTGCCGTTATCATCGATGAGCAACTCGATTTGCTGAAACTTTTTACGTGCAGTAGCCGAGCGGTGGAAAAAGGCTGTATTTCGGTCTCCATTGCGCAGCCAATGCATTTTCTCCTGCTATTTCCAGAATATTTCGTCGCGGATGAGCACTTTGTTATACTTCTGTTGAGCCTCAAAGAATCGTGTTGCCGCCTCCTCATCTTGGGCATTACGGTGAGCTTCCATCGTTTCTACCAATCCTTCGGTTTGTTCCTTTTGACTTTTGCGTTTACGGTAACTCCACAAATTAAGATCACCCGCACATATAGCTATACGGTCTGCGACCTCTCCACTATCAATCTTGTTCCAACCGGTGCTGACCACTTCTTCAATATCATCTTCCTGAAGCCATTTATTTTTGAATCTGAACTTGTACCTATTACGTCGATATTGGGCAGGGTCACAATGCAATATAATTGGACTGTGGTCCGAATGAGAAGTGAATAAGTTCTTCAACTGTGCATTCGGGAAAAGTTCCAACCAGTTAGTTGTAACAAGAGCTCTGTCCAACCTTTCCTCCACTGCATGATTAGTACCGCGACTTTTCGTCCAAGTAAACGGGTGTCCCTCAAGACGGACATCAGTGAGATTGCAGTCATTCACAACTTGGCGAAAACTGACACATAACCAATTCGAGTGACTATGATTTCCAGTTTTGTCCTGTTGAGACAAAAAATCATTGAAATCTCCGATAATACACCACAGAACTTCTTACATATCTCGAAGGTTACGGAGCATGTCCCAAGCTTGACGTCTTCTACTCCTCTCGGGAAAGCCGTAGTAACAAGTCAACCGCCATATACCTTTTGAGTCATCCTGTATGCTTAGATTAATAAAATTCCTAGAAAAATTCATAACACTACACTTTGCACTATCCTTCCACATGACAGATAAGCCACCACTTCTTCCTTCTACATCAACTATTAAATAAGAGTCAAACCGCAACATCACTCGAATATGTTCCAGCTTCTGAGTTCTAGCAAGTGTCTCAGACAGGAAAAGAATATCCGGCCGATGCTGATGAGCCAACTTGCGAAGGTTCGGAATTGCTCTCGGGTTGCTCAAGCCCCGACAATTCCAACTAAGGATTCTCATTAGTCCCAGCAGTCCTGGCTGCCAGGACCTGCTGATAAAAAATGTTGATTAGTCGCATTTGTTAAACTCTTCTGTTCTATAACTGGTGTTTTCCTCCTTTTTCTTTCTAACTGATTTTCAGTTTCTTCTACTGTATCAACAGCATGGAAGCTAGGGCTTTGTATCACACTGACTTCTGCATCTTCTTTTAGCTGACACGGGTTTTTGGTTTGTGCATGGTTTTGCAAAAAAATAGTTTTGTTTCGGTTTGCATGCATTGGCTTCATTTGAGAAAATTTTGGCTTGAGTTTGTGTGATTTGTGGTTGAGGGCTGCAGGTGTTGGAATGAAAGTTGGGTTTGTATGGGTAGTGGAATACTGCATATTATATGAGTTGTTTTCAAAGGGTATAGCATCTGATACACGAGGTTTGGCAGCACAGATTAATTGTGGTTGGTTAGTTGGCGCCGCAATTTCAATGTGTGGTGGGTTCATGTCTAATTTTGTTTTTGTTTTATTTGTGTGTTCCTTAAGCGGGTCTACTTGTGGCAGCCAGTGGGGGACAACATTGATAAGTGGGGGGACAACATTGATAAGTGGGGGGGCAAAGTTATCTTTGGCTAATGATTGTGTCAGTGATTTTGTCTGGGCTTGGTCAATAACTTCTGTGACAGCTATTAAAGGTGAGTTATTGTTGTTTCCATACATAGTCAAAACACGATCCGTGTTATTAAAATTTGCCTTCAACATAATTTGATTTTTATTTGAATGAGGATCTTGGGAACTTAATACTGGCGGGCCCGCCTCATGATTGGTTTCAGCTTCACTCTCCAAACCAGGTTCGTACTCCTCACGCGTTTTGGAACTTCCAGACTCAGAAACATGGACTCCTCCTTCCTTCTCACTCTTTAGCCATTTTGAAGATTGACCTCCATTAATCCTCCGGTTCTCTGCTCGAAGTTCAGTAGACCACTCCCTAACCCCGTTGTCTTCTGTCATAGCAAAACGAACTTCACATCTTTGTTCTGTATGCCCTAAGATTCCACAAACAAAGCAAAAAATTCCAAGTCTTTCATATTTGAATGTAAACAGTACACCATTCTCCTCCTTTATTTTTTACTCTTGTTTGCTTCTTTAATGGTTTCCGAACATCGATCTTCACCCGTAATCTCATGTATTGTCTCCAGAAGCTCGAGTTGTTATTCTTATCATATTTCACAAAGGATCCTATAAACTTGGCCATAGTGATTCCCACTCTCTTCAGCATCAAACCTGCAGGCAAGTTATGGACTTGGACCCAGAATTCGACGTGATTTAGCGGTATGTTTTCGATCTGGACTCCTAATTGCACCCTCTCAATAATCAATAGATTGTTGTCGAAATTCCACGGTCCTTCGTTCAACGCCGATTCCATATCCAATTTATGATCGAAGTGGAATAGGAATAAACTTTCCGTCGCTTTCTTTATTATGACTCCTCTAACCGGCCTCCACACATCAACAACACATTTTTTCATGATTGTAACATGAAAAGGTCTATCAGATAGAAACCTTCCCACTAAGCACCATCGGAGATTCGATGTCTCGTCCCCTTCCTCATTCACTTCAAAGCAGAATCCTTCCTCCTCGTTTTCATCGTGTATTGATAACCCTTCAATATTTGGACTAGTCATAATTCTGGTGAACACAAAAGATCAGACCACACTACTAGGATAAAGAAAAGAAAACAAAATCTCAGACTGAGAAAATATCAAACCCTAGCAGAGGCTAGGAGCTCACCTTAAATCCTACTAAGTTAAAGTGTAATTTTTTAAAAATTTATATAACATGACAAATACATATTTTTATTGGACTATTAAAATGGTAAGTTAAGCATTATTTAAGAGATTAAAAAATTATATTTTTAAAAAATATATGTGTATTCAATGCACTGAAAAAAAAAATTAATTTATAAAAAAATATTATATATATTAAATAAACTGAAAATAATATATTTTTCTTATTTGAAGTTCTTAAACAATACTCATTGGTAGATGAATCGAATATCCATCCATAAATTTAATTAAATGAATTAAATTCAATTAATTGTATAGTGGATGAAAGGAATAAATATTTTATTAGATGAGTATATATAAGTTGTCCTTTAAAATATTATAAAATTTAACAGACTCAAGTCAATAAATTTTCAAATCTAAAAATGGATTAAATCATGATCCAAATAATGGTATATCTAACAAAATTAATTGAAGTAGCTTTCAAAATTTGAGACTTTTAAATGTAAAACACACGTCTCGTGAATGCTTTTATATCTTTGAACTACCACTCTCACACAAAGATAGTACTACTAGTATATTTGGGCCACCACATAATTTAATTTAATCTCATTTATTTACGAAAATTAAATAAATAAAAACGAAAATTAAATATTCCGAGAATTTCGGTTAAATTGGCGGGAAATCGGTGGGGAGCAGCTAGCGAATTTTTTGGGATTTCCAATAACTTTCTTTCGTAAAGGGTCCCACAGAACATTCACTGCAAACAAATCATCACCGTTCGATCACATTCTAATCCAACGGCATGAAATCATTCAACTTCCCGCCGATTGTACGGTACTTTAACCCTTGCCCCAAAAGAAACGTTTTTTCTTCCTTCATATTTCACTTTTCCCAACGTTATAATAATTATATATTGTTATAGTAGTTCTTTAATTAATTATTTAATAATTATTTTAATTATCTTAATTTTAAAATTAAAATTAAAATCACATTACATATAACTATATAAGAACTCATGATAACATTTTTCTTATATTTCTCTCTCTCTCTCTCTCTGCTTTTTCACGCCGCATCTGAAACCAAAAATGGTAAGAACAGTTTTTAGATTTGTTTGATTCTTGATGATGATGATGATGAAGTTTAGTTGAACTAATTCTGATGATTTCAGTAATCTTGTCTGTAAATGTTGATTGTTCTATGCTAATATATATGTCAAATTTGCAATCTGCATGTGAAGATTTAGTTGATTTTTCAATTGTACTTTGAATATCTGAGATTAGATTTAGGTTTTTGATGTTTGTTTGAAGTTTACTGATTTCAGTTATTGATTGTTGAAATAATGAAATGAGTTTTTGTTTTTTGTTTTTAGGGTTCTTGAATTGATATTTTGTGGTTACACTGAATGATGGATTTTGCAGGTGGGGAAGAATGATTCACCAAAGGAAAGGAATAGAGATTGGATTAGGGAACTTATGAATAGTAGTTCTGGTTATTGTGATGATCATCATGATCTTCGATCTAGCGAGAACAATACTTTCTGTGTAGATTGTGCTGTTAGAATGTGTAGGCACTGTAAGGAAGCTCATTCCATGCATACAATGTTTCAGATATACAGATATTCCTATCAGGATGTTTTTCGACATTCCGACTTGCACAAGCATTTTGACTGCTCAAATATTCAGGTCTCTTTTGTCACAAGATATAGTATACTACTGAATCGTTGTTTCATTTTCTCTCTGATTTAAACCAATTTACTTGCATTAATCTGCTTAATTGCTTCTATATTGTGCTTGATTTGATTTGTGTTTCTCTGGTTGGTGATAAACTCTAATGTTGTTAACCTGTTGAAATTACTTACAATGACTGAATTTTCCATATGGTTGTGAATGTTCTAATGTTTGTCCATGAAGAAAGTTATGTTTATTTTTCTTTTCTACAATCATTGTTATTGAACATTGTCCAAGTATACACTCTCACACTCAATCTAACTATTTGCATAATTGTTTAAGTATGCGCCAATTTGTTATTGATCATACACATCAACACTTACAATGGTTTCTGTGGTTTATCAGACTTACATATCCAATAATGAAAGGATTGTGCATCTAAAACCTCGGCCTCCAATCTATAAATCTAAACCTGGTGATCAATGCCCTGAATCCAAATCAAAAGAAAGCAACTTATCAGCAAGATTTAAATTGGGAGGTACTACATGCGAAGAATGTGGAAAACACTTGCAAGACGAGCGCAGTCGCTGGTGCTCTATTATATGCAAGGTAAACGAACATGCTCTAAAGTAATGGTAAAACTTGGCTGTTTCCTATTACATCGCTGTAACTCAAATCGTGTATTGTTGATAGATCTCAGCGCTTCCAGTGGAGCCTCAAAGCCAAGGTCCTAATCATCACACACAAAGGAGCTTAGTTTTCAACCAAAGTGGTAGATGCACCATCACTCCAAAAATTGAAGCAATTGACTTCACTATGAATGATAACCTTAATTCAGAACCGGAGTCATCTATTTCTGAAGCTGAGCCATGTGGGCGGGTTGAAGTTGTGAATTTCAGGAAGCGCCCCAGAAAAACCCCTCCTCAAAGGCCTCACTTTGTTTTCATTTCTTAGTCTATGTTTGGAAATCGGACTGCGATTTTCAAGGTGTCACATTGCGGCAACATGAAGCTAGCACAGATAGCTTCCCAGTTTTCACACCAGAGAAAAACCACTCCTCAGAGGCCTCTCTTTGTTTTCATTTCACATTGCATGGCAGTTTTCACAGCATCGCCATGCGGCAACATGAAGCTAGCACAGATAGCTTCCCGGCCTCTACAGTGTTCTTCCTACTCACTGTCCCACATTACTACTCTACTGTTTCCTTTGAGATTTTGTTTCCAAGTTATCATTTTTGGATAATAAGGTAAGATATCTTGAACAATTAAGAGAAGCTCAACTCCATTATACCCCATATTGGGATTTTAAGTATAAATTGAGGAGTTTGAGGTACTTTTGCCATGAGGAAATTGACTAGTTGAGCTTGTACAGCCTAAAACATTTATATAGTATTGCTATTGAAGCACTCTTTTCAATTTAATTTCATCACTATGGATTGAATTTCTCTCACTAAAACTTGTGAATACATGCATTCTAATGCTGCCATCAATCTTTCAAGGTCACATGGATGTATAAGTATGGGTACAAGATACAGTAGTTTGAAAAAAATTAAAGTATGTAATTTTTTTTTACTTACTCTATCATTAGAAGTTAAATTGTTTTAAAGTTTGAAAAGTCAAAGTTTGTTTGGTTACAATAATATATGACAAAAGGAAATGCGTCTAGAGACACTGCACTCTAATACTGCCATCCATCTTAAACTTTCATGGTCACATGGATGTAGGTATGGCTACGAGATTCAATAGTTTGAAAAAAAATCAAAGTATGTCATGTTTTTTTAAATGAGAAAATGAGAAGACAAGACAAATTAATGAATTTTTATCTTCTAAAAATATAGTATTTTTAAATGAGAAAATGAGAAGACAAGACAAGACATATTATTGTAACCAAACAAACTTTGACTTTTCAAATTTAAAAATAATTTAACTTTTAATAATATACTTCATCCGTTTTAAAATGACGGTCGTTTAAGGTTTTTACACACAAATTAAAAAATGTAATGATATTGTCATAAGATACTGCATTTTTACTAAATTAATCCTATTAATGTATTGGAAATAGTGCACAGAGTATTGCAAGACACAAAACTAATGTAGGCACTCTCCAACAAAATGGCTTAGCTGAAATGTTTAACCAACCCATTTTATAAAGAGTTAGATGCATGTTAACTAGTGTTGGGTTAAAGAAGGTGTTTTGGGCAGAGGATGTTTCGACAACAACATATATGATAAATAGATGTCCTTCGTCTGTGTTAGATATGAAGACACCTGAAGAAGTTTGGTCGGGACATCCACTAGATCTCGACATGAAATGTATGTTCCTTAGATACCCTGAAGGAGTCAAAACTTATAGGTTGTGGTACCCAGAGCCAGGTCACAGGAGGTGTATCACAAGTCGGGATGTAGTTTTCAATGAGGCTAAGATAACTTTCAAGAAAATTGATGACATTGGTCGAAGTTGAAGATATCTGAAGAAGAGCTGGAACATAAAGATATTCTTGTTGAGGTGGAACATAGTAATGCTGAATTGCATGACCCAGATGTAGTTGAAGAAGAAGCTGAAGCTGCTGTAGAAACTAAGGAAACTGTCGATGACTACCTGTTAGCAAGAGATAGGTCGAGAAGAGTCATCAAGCCACCTCAAAGACTTGGGTATGCTGATATTTTAGCTTATGCCTTAACCTCTTCAAGTGAGGTTCTGGATGAAGAACCTAGAACTTATAAGAAAGTTATAAGAAGTCAAAATAAGACTGAATGACTGGAGGCCATGAATGATGGGACAGAGTCTCTTAATGATAACCACACTTGGGAACTGATTAAGAAACCTGCCGGAGCCAAGTTAGTCAGTTGTAAGTGGATTTTCAAAGTTAAGGAAGGAATTGAAGGAGTGACGTCGAAGAGATACAAGACAAGATTAGTCGCAAAGGGCTTCACTCAGATAGAAGATGTCAACTTCAATGATGTATTCTCTCCTGTTGTGAAGCACATGTCCATTCAAATGTTGCTTGTTATGGTGGCACAATTCGACCTGGAATTGGAACAACTGGATGTGAAGACTGCTTTCTTGTATGAAGATCTAGATGAAACAATCCTGATGAGGCAACCTGAAGGGTATGCAGAAAAGGGAAAGGAAGATTATATGTGCAAACTAAATAGATCTTTATATGAACTGAAGCAATCTCCTCGACAGTGGAATAGGAGATTCAACAAGTTCATGGCACACATAGGTTTCATTCAAAGTCAGTTTGACCACTGTGTTTACTTTAGATTTCGACATGAAAATTCATTTGTTAATTTGTTACTTTATGTGGATGATATTCTTATAGCAAGCAACAATATCGAGAATGTAATTAAAGTGAATGCTGAACTCAATAAGGAGTTCGATATGAAGGATCTGAGACCTGCATCCAGGATTCTTGGGATTGACATCCAGAGAGATAAAAAGCAGTCGAGATTATGCTTATTTCAAGAGGCATACCTGAAGAAGATTCTCGATAAGTTTGGTATGTGGAATTCAAATCCTGTTCTGACTCCGAAAAACCCTCAAATCAAGCTGAGTACAAATATGTGTTCCAATACCGAGGTTGAAAGAGCTTATATGAATAGCATGTCATATGCTAACATAGTAGGTTCTTTGATGTATGCTCTGGTTTGCACTATACCTGACATAACATATGTAATAAGTCTTGTAAGCAGGTACATGAAAAATCCTAGAAAGGCTCATTGGCAAGCATTGAAGTGGATTCTAAGGTACATAAATGAGTCTCTGAATAGAGTCCTGATTTATGGTGGAGCATATGGTGAAAATAGTAAAGCAGAAATCGAAGGGTATGTCGACTCTTTTATGCAGATTGTATGGATTTTAAAAAATCTATTTCTGGATATGTGTTAATTATGTTTGGCATAACTATCAGTTGGAAAGCAACATTTCAGAAGGTTGTTGCCTTATCAACCACTGAAGCTGAATATATCGCCCTCACTGAAGCCGTGAAAGAAGCATTATGGCTTGAAGGTTTTCCTAAGAAGCTGAAACTTCAAGGTCGAGTTATCACTGTTAAATGTGATAGTCAAAGTGATATACGCCTTTCGAATAATTCAACCTATCATAAAAGAACCAACCACATCAATGTGAGGCTGCATTTCATCAGATGGGTAATCGAGCATGGAGAAGTTCAAGTGTTGAAGGTTTTGACAAATAATAATGATGCTGATATGATCACCAAGACATTACTAAGATGCAAGTTCTTCCACTGTATGCAGTTGATAAAGTTGCATGAAGAAAGCTAGTTTATTTAAGTTAACTTGTCTCCTAAGTTAGCTTGTGTAATGGTCGTGTGTGTAAAAGTCCATTATGTTAGTATGTTAGTTTTCTTATAAATAGTATGCTAGTCTCTCATCTTTGGGGTGGTGGTACAAACCCTAATTAGGGTGAGAGAGGTTATTTGCTATTCTGTAACACTTGTAATATTGTTTAAAGAGAAAGTAAAGAGTAACAACTTATAACCAATTTCATTGTGTTCTTATTGTTTCCCTATTTTCTACCCTTGTGGGTTTCTTTCTGATCAAAAAACCGATAATACTTTTTTATTCTGATATCGTTTTACACAGCTGATTAAAAAAAATCTCATTCTTTATCAGTTGTTTAGTACATGCACAACTTAACAGATTATCAGACCAATGATGAATTCTAGCAGTGATTTTATCAATTAACGTCATGTATTAGTAGACATTCAACTTTCGACTTGAGAGAGGGACCCCTAAGTATTGAATGGCAAGATGCCCTTGGATAACTTAGTGGTCTTTATGATTTCTTGCTGAACCTGCTCATTAACTCCATCAAAATAAATTTGACATTTAAAGGGATTCACCTTCATTCCCGTAGAATCAGAGAAATCCCAGAAAGCTTCCATTATCAATTGCACAAACACTTTATCACCATGAGAAAATAAAATGAGGTTATCAACAAAGCAAATATCAGTTATGTGTTTCTCACACTTGGGATGGAAGTTGTAGTTTGGCTTCTTCTTGAGTTTCTTAAGGCATCTATTCATATACTCCATTATAATCACAAACAACAATGGAGATATTGGATCTCCTTGCCTTAACCCTCTTTTTGCTTTGAGTAACTCACTATGCTGACCATTAATGCTATATCTATAAGAAACAGTTATGACATAAACCATAAACTAGTTGATGAATTGTGTAGGAAAGTTCATTTCTCACATAATGATTTCTAGAGCATCCCACTCAACAATATCATAATATTTTTGAATATCAATTTGAATATCACACCTGGGAGAAATATGCTTTCTATTGTATCCTCTCAAAAGTTCATGAGTTATCATTATGTTGTCATGAATGATTTTTCCAGACACAAAAGCAGATTGATTTTCATCCACAATAACACTTATGATTTTGTTTAATCTCATAGTGAGCATCTTGGAATGATTTTGTAGATAGTTGTGCAACATGCTATAGACCTCATCTCTTTCATGGTCTTTGCCTCTGAAGATTTTGGAATCAAAGCAACACTAGCACATTAAGCTACAAAATACATTCTATTATGTTGGAAGAAATAATATATATATATATATATATATATATATATATATATATATATATATATATATATATATATATATATATATATATATATATATATATATATATATATATATATATATATATATATATATATATATATATATATATATACATATATATATATATATATATATATATATATATATATATATATATCATCTCTCACCTCATCTTTGATCACAATCTAGGGATGACAATTACACCTATTCTTAGTGCGTACCCTCAAATTTTACCCACAACGGGTAGGGTAAAAACCCATAAAATAGATACGGGCACGGGTGCAAACAATTATCCACTAAAATAAGCGGGTATGGGTACGGGTACGAGTATCTTAGTACCTAGTCCGCTCCA